GGCCGGCCCGGCCGACTCGGGGGCCTGGGAGGCCGACGGGCCCCTCCAGTGTGGCCTACGGGGAGGGGAGGGGGCCGCGAAGGAGAAGAGTTCCACTGCGCTTGCTTTTCCCGTCCCTTGGGTTCCGTCGGGTTTTGCCGCGTCTTTGCCTATTTGGTCAGTGGTAACCTGCAGCCAGGCCTTTAAAGTTGAGAGATTGCAACCGGAGAGGGGCACACATTCCTCGAGGTGGCCCCTCGACCCAGATTAGACGGGCTCTGATCTCAAGCAGCTTCTAATTAAATACATCTAAGGAGGCTTAGGCCGCCTGGTAATAAATAGGTGTGGTCCCATGAATGCGCTGGGCGAGCTTGGGATGTGCCGAGGTTTACTGGCTGGTGCAAAGGTGTGTGTAATTGTGCTTCTGTCACCCGCAGGTATGTGCCATCGCAAGCAGATGTTGCAGTATTTGAAGCAGTCTCGGGCCCACCCCCTGCCGACTTGTGTCATGCCCTTCGTTGGTATAATCATATCAAATCCTATGAAAAAGAAAAGGGCAGGTAAAAGTATCTTTGTATTCACTTAAAGAAATAAGAGAACTTTCTAAGCTTACGGTTTTCACACAAAATTGTACCCACAGTATTTTTAGCCTCATTAGAGGGTTGTAAATTTCTTTGTGGTCTTAGAAGGTCTAGAGACTGAAACCTCAGGGACAACAGCAGTTCAGGTTTTCCCCACACTGCTTTGCCACTGTGCTTCGAACCTGGTGGGGGGAGGCGCAGAATGAGAATGTGGCTCATTCATTTCAGTCCTTGGCCATTCTTCCGAAACTGCCAACAAGGGTGGAAAGTTTTGGGGGTGCCCACTAAGACTGGAATTGAGCATACTTAATGAGATCTCAAACAGAAATGTTGATACTGAAAGAGTTACTTGTAGTGGGTGTTGATTATAATGTCTCATGTGCTACTAATGTTTTTGGGTAGAGTTGGACATGAGCCGGTTGCTGGTGGCTCAGGCCTGTAATCCTAGCTGCTGAGGAGGAAAAAGAGTTGGGCATGAATTACTTACCTGGGATTGTAAAGAGTATTAATTACTAGTACAAGAGGAAGTGAGCATAGTGATAAAGTTCTCTTCTTTTGACCAGTAAAAGATGTTACACCAACCTAGAGGTGGTCATTCAACAGAACTTTTTTTAAGCCTGCCAGGAGTGAAGAAACCTTTGGGCAAGTATGGCCCTGCCAACGTGGAAGATACCACTGGGAGTGGAGCTGTGGAGAGTAAAGATGATGATGACATTGACCTCTTTGGGTCTGATGATGAGGAGGTATGTACCTTTTTATCTAAGAAAGTAAATTGAGAGGCCGTTTATCTTTGTGCATAATAAGCATAGGCGCTAGCCATGTTATTTGGACTTGAACCCTGGCTTCACTTAATCATTTCCCTTTTAAATTCCCACTGGTTACATGATGAATAAAATCAAATCACCATCTTTCGGCTGAGCCTCATGATGGATTTGCTTGTTTCTGATAAAGTTGGTCATTTTTGTGATGGCTCTTCTACCAACAGTAAGCAAAGAAACCAGCTTTGTTGAAGTCTATTATATTTTTTCTGCACAGGAGAGTGAAGAAGCAAAGAAGCTAAGGGAAGAACGTCTTGCACAGTACGAGTCAAAGAAAGCCAAAAGTAGGTCATTTGACAATTAAGTAATTTTTTTCTCTTCATATCATAATAATGTGAGTAATCTTTCAAGCGTATTTTTATTAATAGATCAAATCTTCTATGAAGTTTTTTTGGGGGGGTTGGGTTTTTCTTGTTTTTTCGGTCAGTTGTGGGGCTTGAACTCTGGGCTTGGGCGCTGTCCCTAAGCTCTTCAGCTCAAAGTGAATGCTCTACCGCTTGAGCCACAAGCGCCACTTCCAGTTTTCAAGTGGTTTATTGGAGATAAGAGTCTCACTGACTTTTCTGCCCGTGCTGGCTTTGAACCGTGATCCTCAGATCTCAGCCTCCTGAGTAGCTAGGATTACAGGCATGAGCCACCGGCGCCTGGCTGGGGGGGGCGGTGGGGAGGTTCTTTTTAAATAAAACCTCCACAGCTACTGGTCTGCAGCTGTTCTTAATAACAGTTGTGGCATTCCTCTGTGGGAAAGAAACTGTTACACAGTTAAACACCACTTTCTTAACCAAACAGAAAGAGGGCACACAGTGTGACAGACACAAGATGTATTTTCAAATTTCATTTGAAGAGATCTATTCCAAAACAGGTCATTTTGGATTATGGTGGGGGGGAGATTTACTACATAAATAATGCTGTTTTTACTCTTCTAGAACCTGCGCTTGTTGCCAAGTCTTCCATCTTACTAGATGTGAAGCCCTGGGATGATGAGACAGATATGGCAAAATTAGAGGAGTGTGTCCGAAGCATTCAAGCAGATGGCTTGGTCTGGGGGTCCTGTGAGTTTAGTCTTTGTATTTTGAAATAAGTATTGAATTTGTGTACATTTTCAGCCTTTGCCCATCAAGACTTTTCTGAGCTTTTTCTTAATCTTTTTAGCTAAACTGGTTCCAGTGGGATATGGAATTAAGAAGCTTCAAATACAATGTGTAGTGGAAGATGATAAAGTAGGAACAGACATGCTGGAGGAACAGATCACTGCTTTTGAGGACTACGTGCAGTCCATGGACGTGGCTGCTTTTAACAAGATCTAAAATCGCCCTGATCGTTGCATTTAAATAAAAGTTTGAAGGATAAGCCTTGCTTCTCCTGCCTGTTAAATAAAGGGTGTTGTATATTTTTCTTTCGGTATGTAGGTGCAATTGGGCTCCCAGCCCAAATGTCCTTTTATGGAAATGAATCTGATTCTTTTTTTCCCAGGTAAGGGGTAGGTTTATTCAGTAGACCTGCTGGGACCAGGCAAGGTTGGCACTCCATGTGGCTGGGAAAGGCCTGGGAATGAGAGAGAGCTGGGAAAGAGAGGAAAGAGCAGAGAAAGCAGAGAGACAGCTAGAAAAGAGCAGCGAGAGAGAGGAGAGAGAGAGCCAAGAGCAGGGAAAGCTAGAAAAGAGCAGAGAGAGAGAGCAGGGAGAGCTAGAAAAGAGCAGAGAGAGGTGAATCTGACTCTTACCTGAATTATTTTGGTTGGATGCCTGATGACAGATCTTGGTTCAGCATTAATACTAAACATTTAGCACTTGTGCAGTCTGGTCTTCAGCAGAGCATGATATGGATGCAGTTTGTTTGAGCTCAGCATTTTCAAGTTGGAATTCAGAGATGAAAAATTAACAAGTTTCATCCAAAAATAATGTTCTTGGATTTTAGTAGATGTACAAGAGTATCCGGATACCTAACCAGCCCAGGGTTTTGGCTTCTCAGAATTGGCAGTAACTTATAACTGCTTAAACATGTTATAACTCCTGCGTTGTGGTTTGGGGTTGTTATCCTGGGAGGAACGTTTATCAGATTCACAAGATGCTTAACTATTGAATATTTCACTTGGACAGAGGAATCCAAAGATAGATATTGGGTACAATAGTGTTATACAGGAATAGTTTTGTTGTAATGGTACTAGGATTGTACCGAGGGACTTGTGCTGGCAATACAAGTGCACTACCGTTGAGTTACACCCTCAATCCTTTCAGAGACAGTAGGTTTTTGCAAATTTAGAGCTTGAAAAGGTGGTTTTTTATGAAGGTTTATTTGATAATTTTGTTTTGGGTTAGCGTTTCCGTTCAGCCAGTCAATATATTTGTGAAACATCCAAAGCAGAAAGCTTGCAGGTTGCTGCAGAAGCCAGCAGAGGGCAGCATTTGTTTTTCTTTCTGGAAAGCCAGAAAGCTGCTTAGGAATACTGGAAACGTAATCAGGAATATAAGTAAGGTCTTAGTCTTCCTTACATCAGTGTCTATAAACATAGCAACAAAAGTTAGAGCTCTGTCTTTACACACATGTATTCTGTCTGAAATTCTGAGACTGCCCAGCCTGTAAGCCATCTGGGCCTTATGTTAGAATTCTCCAATACACACTTGCACCTAGCCAGGATTTTCCAAACAGTGCTATCATAAGTGAATAAAGATGGGCACAAATGTTTTGACACTTAAGAGATAGGGTTTTATGCACCTTCCCCGAAAGCCAGCCTAGGCCTGTGTTCGGTAATATAAATCGGTTGTATAGAAATGCCATTTGTAGCCTTGAGAAGTATTGGAAATTTCTGCCTTGGTATCTTGAAGCTCAGGCCACCCTGAAGCACATTGAGACAGCCACTTAGCCTTGTTCCCACCCCCACCCCCACCTCAGGCCTCTGCTGTTTGCATTGTTAAACTCCAGCTGGGGCTTCACACAAAGAAGCTGAGGTAATATCCTCTCCTCCCCCATCCCCTTGTTTGAGCTCCTAACTCAGAATTGTGAAAAAGGGTATGGCTTCTTTAATTAAGGTCTTTATTAGCATATATGGGTTCTACAAGGGGGACTTCATTGTGACATTTTTCATACATGCATACAATGTACCCTATTAACCTCCCCCCCATCACTTCCCTTATTGCCTCTTAAAACAATTTCATCAGGCTTCATTGTTCTATTTTCATATATGCAAATAAAATACTTCAACTTAATTCGCCTGCTTCTCCTGCTGATACCCATCTCAACAACTCATTTTGCTTTTCTATCATCCATTTAGTGTGTATTAATAAATTATTGTTTTAAGCGACTAGATTTGTGGGCCGTGTTAATCAGTTAACTAGAAATTCTAAACTAATATAGCCAACTAATTCGTAAAGGTATATACATAGATTGAATATATATATATATATATTAGGAATAATTCTTGCGGGGCTGGGAAGGTGGCTCAGTGGTAGAGCACTTGCCTTGCATGCATGAGGCCCTGGGTTCGATTCTTCAGCACCACATAAGGAGAAAAAAAGCTGGAAGTGGCGCTGTGGCTCAAGTGGTAGAGCGCTAGCCTTGAGTTGAAGAGCTGAGGGACAGGGCCCAGGCCCAGAGTTCAAGCCTACGACCAGACCCAAAAAACCCCCACAGGGCTGGGAAGGTGGCTCAGTGGTAGAGTGCTTGCCTTGCATGCCTGAGGGCCTGGGTCAATTCCTCAGCACCACATAAGAAAAAAGCCGGAAGTGGTGCTGTGGCTCAAGTGGTAGAGTGCTAGCCTTGAGCTGAAGAGCTGAGGGACAGCGCCCAGGCCCAGAGTTCA